AATATAAAAGGTATCGTATTTACGACACAAGCCATGGGCATTATTCCTGTAGATAAAAATGGAAATGTACTCTATCCAAATATTACGTGGGTTGATGGAAGAGCAGAAATACAAGCAGCAAAAGCAATGAGAAAATTTGGTGGCAAACGTATTTTTAAAGCTATTGTAGGCATAGAAATTACAGGCAAAGATGTTATTCCAAAATTAATGTGGTTGAAAGAAAATCATACAGCTATTTTTAATCGCACACATAAGTTTTTAGATGTTAATGGGTATCTAAAATATAAATGTACAGGAAAAATGGTAGCAGAATGGTCTGGTGCTTGTTCTTATGCATTTGACTTAAAAAAGAAAGATTGGGAACATTTATTTTTTAAACTTACAGGCATTGGTTCTGAAAAACTGCCAGATTTAGTAAAATCTACAGATGTGGTAGGTACGCTAACAACAGTTGCAGCCAAAGATTTAGATTTAATAGAAGGCATTCCTGTATTTGGTGGTTGCGATGATACACAAAGTGCAGCTGTGGGTACGACGGCAATTTCAGAAGGAGAAGCTCATATATATACAGGGACTTCTGCTTGGGTAGGTATTTCTACCTCAAAGTCACCAAAATTCAAAAACGGTGCAGTTTGCTTACAAAGTGCTGATCCAAGTAAAAATATTATTGTAGGCATTACAGAGTCAGCTGGGGCAAATACAATTTGGTTGTTGGATAATTTTTATGCTGAAGAAAAAAAATCTATGTCTGAAAAAGAATTGTTTGATAATATAGAAAAGGATATGATGTCTGTTTCCCCAGGTGCAGATTATTTGATTATGACACCATGGTTTTTGGGCGAAAGATGTCCTGTGAGTACTACGACAACACGTTCTACTATTTTTAATCTCACACATCAACATACAAAAGCACATATAGCACGAGCACATTTTGAAGGCATAGCATATAATTTACGTTGGTCTTTAGATAATATGGAAAAAGATTTCAATATTCCAATTAAACAAGTGAAAGTAACTGGTGGAGGAACTTACAATAGTACTTGGATGCAAATTATAGCAGATATTACTGGAAGAAATATAATTACCACAACACAGCCTAAGAATGCAGGAGCTTTAGGTGCTGCCATGTGTGCCATGGTAGGTAGCAATATATTAAAAGATTTTTCTGAAATCAATAAAATTATTCAAACTAAAGATACTTTTACACCCAATACAGCAAATGCAACAGTTTACAATGAACTTTTTTTAATGTATAAAGATTTGTATGCAAATTTGCGTCAAACTTATATTAATATTAATGCTAAAAGATTTTAAAAAAAGATGATAACAATAGAACAAGCTAAAATAGATGTGTGCAACGCAGGAAAGCAATTGCTAAAAAAAGGATTGGTGGCACGCACGTGGGGAAATGTAAGTATTAAGGTAAGCGACACACAAATGGTGATAACGCCAAGTGGCAGAAAGTACGAAGAACTTACACCAGAGGAAATGGTTTTAGTAGATTTTTATACTTTAAAATATGAAGGCAGATTAAAACCATCATCAGAATTGAAATTGCATTGCGAAGTTTATAAAACTAGAAAACAAATTGGTGCTGTTATTCATACACACCAGATGTATGCTTCTATTGTTGCAGCAGCACAAAAAGATGTGGTAGTCATTGACGAAAGTCATCAACAAATATTAGGTGGACACATTATAAAAGCAGCGCCTTATGCCCTGCCCAATACTAAAAAAATAACTGTAGAAACAGCTAAAGCTATAGAACAATCTAATGCAGCTTTAATGTCGAATCATGGTGTGGTGTGTATAGGCAAAAATATGCATGATGTATTTGAAGTGTGCGAAACTTTAGAGTTGGCTTGTAAAAATTATATTGAATCTCTAAAAAATAAAAACTAATTTATGAATATTGAAAATGAGATTCAACTTTTGCAAACACACGCTGAAGGTTATGCTACTTGGGGAAATATTGATATACAATTGATTGCTAAAAAAGAGCATGAACAAATTACCGTAACAGATTTTATTAATCATAAATCTTTTAATTTATTAGATATTGATGTTTCAAATGATGTGCAATTGATTGTAATAAAAAATTTATTATTAAAAAGGAAAAATATACATGCTATTATTATTGCAAAACAAGAATATGGCTCAAAAGTAAAAACAGAAATCCCACCAATTTTAGATGACCAAGCTCAATTATTAGGCGTTAGTATTAGAATTGCACATCTAAAAGAAGCTGATGCTATCGTGAATAAAGACTATATTTTAAAAGCCATTAACAATAGATATGCTTGTGTAGATAGCAACGGTTTGGTATATAGTATTGGCAATACTTTGGAAGATGCTTATGTAGCAGCGTGGTTGGTAGAGAAAACGAGTAAAGCATTCTTAGAATCTAAATATTTAGGTGGCTCAAAAAGTATCAATAAAATAGAAGCATGGTTGATGCATAAATTTTACATGCTTAAATATTCTAAAGAAGCACATAAGAACAAGTAGTTTTTATTCAACTTCTATTGTTATCAAATATTATTTGATTATTCTCTTAATTTGCTATTTTTAAAGCTATACATAAAATATATAATTAAGCCAACTAACATCCAAACTATAAAACGAATCCAATTTTCTACACCGAGCGTAGACAATAAATAACAACAAGATAAAAATCCAAGTACAGGAATGCCCGACCATTTTTTAAGAATAGTGAACATGCTAGTTGAAATAAGTACTAAAATAAATATCCAACTGGGTATTTGATGTTGCCATATAGCAAACCCACCTTCTAAAGAAAATACATCTTTTAAATAATTTTTTGCTTCATTGTTATAAATAAAAATTATTACCAATACTAGCCATAATAATGATATAGTCAGTGTTCCATTAATATTTGGAACTTTAAATTTTGGTGTAGTATTTTGTATAGGCTGTTTTTTATCTCTTGCCTGCAAAACCAAAACACCAGCACACACCAATGCAAATGCAAACAAAGTACCTATGCTACACAAATCTGTAACTAAATTAACATCTAAAAATAAAGAAGGCACACCTACTAATATTCCAGTGGCTATTGTAGCAAACGCTGGTGTTTTGTATTTATGATGTATTTCTGAAAATTTCTTTGGTAATAAACCATCTCTGCTGATGCTCATCCAAATTCTTGGTTGTCCAATTTGAAAAACTAACAGTACACTTGCTGTTGCAATTAAAGCAGAAAAAGCAATGAGTCCGCCCATCCAATTCATACCTATTTGTGTGAAAGCATTAGCTAAAAAAGCTTCGTTGTTTAATTGAGTATAATGCACCATTCCTGTAAGTACCAAACTAATAAGTACATATAAAATGGTAGCGATAATGAGTGCATAAAACATTCCACGTGGCAAATCTTTTTGTGGATTTTTGCATTCTTCTGCGGTTGTAGAAATTGCATCAAATCCAATGTATGCAAAAAATACGGCAGATACACCTTTGATAACGCCAGCAAATCCATTTGGGGCAAATGGACTCCAGTTTTCTGGTTGCACATAAAATATTCCAATGCCAATAATAATTAAGATCACTATTATTTTAAAAACAACCATACCATTAGCAAATCTTTTTGATTCTTTGATGCCAATATACACTAATACTGTAATGAGAAAGTTGATAAAAAAAGCTGGTAAATTAATAATCAATGGTATGCCTAATAGTTGAGGTGCTGTAGCGTATAATTCTGGTATGTTTTTTTGAGCTTCAAGAAATGAAGTAGTAAGATAATAAGGAAATTCATAACCCATCTGATTGAGCCATCGCTCCACACCACAATCTTGTAAAAACTTAACAAAATTTCCTGCCCAAGCTATAGAAACTGTAATGTTGCCAATTGCATATTCTAAAATTAAATCCCAACCAATAATCCAAGCAATGATTTCGCCAAAAGTAGCATACGCATAAGTGTAAGCACTACCTGCAATAGGAATTCTGGAGGCAAACTCTGCGTAGCACAGAGCAGAAAATCCACAAGCTACGGCAATGCCCAAGAATAATAAACTGACAGCAGGACCACCATCTGCACAAGCAGAGCCAATGGTGCTAAATACACCAGCGCCAATAATTGCCGCAATACCCAATGATGCTAAGTCAACTACAGATAAATTTTGATGTAGTTGCACATGTTCCTGCTCAACTTTGTTTTCTTTATCTTTTAATATTTTTTCAATAGATTTTACTCTAAACAAATCTTTCCAAACCATATATGCAAAGTAGTAAAAAATTGAATATTATCTAAAACAAAACAAACAAAGTATAGAATATGAATCTATTTGTCTGATTATGATTTTTTTATTAGCCTGTAGCCACCTAAGATAATTAGTGCACCTATTATTGCTATTACAAAACTTTGAAGGTTGAAACCATCAATGTTACCAAAGCCCAATCTTGTTCCTAAAAATCCACCAACAAATGCTCCGCCAATGCCTAATAAAATTGATACAAACCAACCGCCAGGATCTTTTCCAGGCATAATTATTTTAGCTATAACTCCTGCTATTAATCCAAAAACAATCCATGATAAAATTCCCATAAAAAAGTATTTTTAGTAAATGTATGTGATAATTACGAAGTAGTCAATGACTAATGAAAATGCTCTGCCAAATATCTTTCTGCATCTAAAGCTGCCATGCAGCCAGAGCCAGCAGAAGTTACGGCTTGTCTATAAATTTTGTCTTGTACATCGCCTGCTGCAAATACACCAGCTACATTTGTTCTTGTACTCTTTGCTTCTGTAATAATATAGCCAGCCTCATCAGTATTTATATATGATTTGAATATAGATGCATTGGGTTCGTGTCCTATTGCCACAAAGAATCCTTCAATTTTTACTTCGCTACTTTCTTGTGTTTGATTGTTTTTGATACGCACTGCTTCTACTTTTTTGTCACCTAAAATCTCTTCCGTTTCGCTATTCCAGTATATTTTTATATTGGGTGTATTGATGACTCTGTCTTGCATAATTTTAGATGCACGCATTTCACTTCTTCTTACTATCATGTGTACCTGAGGACATAATTTAGAAAGATATAAAGCTTCTTCGCATGCTGTATCGCCTGCACCTACTATACCTACTTCCTTGCCTTTGTAAAAAAATCCATCGCATACAGCACAAGCAGATACACCAGAACCATTTAATCTTGTTTCTGAAGGTATACCCAACCATTTTGCTTTAGCTCCAGTTGCTATAATTACTGTTCTTGCTTGAATTAATTTTTCGTCATCTATCCAAATTTTGTGTATTTTCTCTGAGAAGTCAACTTTTGTAACTAACCCAAAACGTACTTCTGTGCCAACTCTTTCAGCTTGTTGTTGGAAATCGTTCATCATTTTTGGTCCAGTTACTGCATTTGGATAACCTGGATAGTTTTCTACATCAGTTGTAGTCATGAGTTGTCCTCCTGGTTCCAATCCTGTATATAATATTGGTTTTAAATTTGCTCTTGCAGCGTAAATGGCTGCTGTGTATCCTGCTGGACCAGCTCCAATAATTAAAACATCTAAAATTTCTTCTGACATAATTTATTTTCTTTTAATTTGATGAAGTTAGTATTTCTTGATGAATTGTACTAATTTGAGTTTCTAAATTTTTGTTACCATCATTGGTAATCACAAAATGGCAATGTTTAATTTTTTCATCATCAGGCATTTGGTTTTGTATTCTTTGTAACACTGCTTGTTTGCTAATTTGGTCTCTCTTTATTGCTCTTTCTATTCTTAATTCTAATGGTGCAGTAACTAGGATTATCTTATCCATCAGTAGGTGACTTTTGCTTTCAAACATAATGGCAGATTCATATAAAATATAATCTTCAAGTTGATGTTGTATAAAAAACGCTTGGGCATCTGCAAATACAGCAGGATGTACGATTTGATTAAGTTGTTGTAGTAATGATTTGTCTTCAAATACTTTTGATGCAATATAGTTTCTATTATATTGATTTTCAATATAGGCATCATTACCAAACAGTTCAATAATTTTGCTTTTTACTGATTTATTTTCTTCAATGATGTATTTGGCTCTAACATCGGCAAAATAGATTGGAATTTGAAACAACTTCTCAAAGAGAAAACAAACTGTGGTTTTTCCGCTTGCAATGCCTCCAGTTATGCCTATTTTAAGCATATTTGATACTTAATTAGGCAGCAGTATTTTCCTGTGCTTTTTTACTCATTTCCAAAGAAACAGCACTACGCTCAATTTTCATTTTTGTTGTACTATCTACTTGAATAGAGAAAGTATTGTCTGCTTCATTTAATGCAACAATTTTTGCATGAATACCTGCAATGGTTACTATTTTGTCGCCTACTTTTAGATTGGCTATGAAGTTATCTTGTTCTTTTTGTTTTTTAGATTGTGGTCTAATTAAGAAAAAATAGAATACAACAAACATCAACCCAAACATAATAAGTGTAAATGTAGATGAGCCGCCTTGTGGTGCTTGCAATATAAATAAAAGATGATTCATGATAAAAATATTTAAAGATAAAAAAGAAAGGCAAGTTACTTATATCGCACCGCTACAACCGACTACCTTTGCTGCCTTCCGACCCTGGAGGGTTTGCCAGGAGCTGGTCGTATAAGACTTGCCCACTGCAAATATAGTCTATTTTTTGCAAATGGATATTAATTTATTATTTTCTTATTTTAGATTTTCTTAAAATTTATCTATTGATGATTTTACTAATTTATAATTCTTATTATTTTCTATATTTTTGCAGAAAAAAAATTGGGAAAAAGTAAATTATTCAAGTTTGCAGATATTGCTAATAAACACAATGTATTTGAGCGAAATCCAGAAATGAAAGGAAAATGGAATTCAGATTTCTTTAAAAACAACCATCCTATTATCTTAGAATTGGCTTGTGGTAAAGGAGATTACAGTTTGGGCATGGCATCTTTATTTCCACACAAAAATTTTATTGGTGTTGATATCAAAGGTAATAGGATTTGGAGTGCAGCAACATTGGCTGAGAAAATGGAATTAAAAAACATTGCATTCATTAGAGAACAAATAGATAAAATTGATGACTATTTTGAGCAAGAAGAAGTAAGTGAAATTTGGATTACATTTGCCGATCCATTTCCAAAAATTAGCGACCAAAAACGTAGATTAACTTCTACTAAATTTTTACCTATTTATAAAAAAATATTAAAACAAGATAGTATCATTCATTTAAAAACAGACAGTGATATTTTATATGATTCTACAAAAGAAACTTTAGCCTCTTTTCCTTCTGTAACTCTAAAAGATTATGAAGATGTATATGCAATGAATAAAAATGAAGAACTATATAGTATTCAAACATATTACGAAAAGCAACATTTACAAAACAATAAAACCATAAAATATCTATGTTTTAGGCTATTATA